CTTTGTTTACACATTGTCAATATGTAGCTGGTTTTGAGTTATCAAATGTGATGTTTATATATTAATTAAACAAGGTTGTACCTTTGAACACCTTAAGAACTACTGAAGTGTTTTTATATTATCTATGAAGCCAAAAAAACAAAAAAATCAAAACAGACATTTCACCATAAAATCAAAAACCGACCTTTCACCATAAAATCAACAACCGAGAATTGTATACCTTATTTGCTATTCAGGAGGGAGCAACGTGGGAGAAATTAATCAACAGCCTTCAAATCTCCTTGAAGGTGCTTGGAAGCAGTGGCCAACTCAGTAATAATATAAGAAATGCAAAACAATAACATTTAATTAAATTCTTATTTTTACCAATTAAGAGAAACGTAAATAATAAATATACCAGGAAGTACAAATTGATATACATATATTGTATGCATGTCCTATGCTCTCTTTTTTTTAGACAAACATTTTGCACATCAATTTTTTACACAAAATAGAAAAATGTAATCAACTATAGTCATCTATAGCTCGGTTTTTCAAATTTTAAAGAGACCAAATGGTATATTTTCACAGATGACATATACTTAGTATGAATCCTTGATATTCGTTTATAGATCATTTATACAAATTTAATATAAGGCACATACTCAGTACGAGACATATTCAAGCAATATGATGCAAACATTAACATATACAAAACAAAAATTACCAAAATTAAAATCTAAATATTATATGTAGAACACATGTATATTTGAAAAAACAATGAAAGTTAACAATGATTGTTGATACAGATTGTATCGCTATTGCTTAATCGACCTGGTAAAAGAGAATCCTGCTACAATTTCGCGAGATGCGAAGTTAGAGCCCGCGGCGTCAGTTAGGATTCGACTCCCGGTGAAACTTTAGCCCGAGCCGTTGAATCTCCTTCAGTTATTGTAAGCGGTTGTTGTCTCAAAACAATATCTGAAAATCCAAAAAAAAAAAAAAAACAAATAATTATATATCAATTTGTACTTAAAAAAAAAAAACTCAGTTTCATTATCTCTACAATCAAAATATTTTAAAAACATAGTTTGCTACTTGACTCATAATGAAATTCAAACTAGAAAATCAAATTGCGACAAATAAAAAAAAATGAAAACATGAAACTACCTTTCATATTATGAAATAATCGCTGACATTGGCTTGATCTTTGTCGAAACGAAGATAGATATGTACATGCCAAATCGATTTTGTAGATCATAGTTTTACAAAATCGATTGTTGTAAGCTATGAGGAACGACATCGACGTGACAGATCAAACTTCAAAAATAGCTAGACTTAGCTGTGATTACCAGTTGTTTTTTTTAAAGCGAACTAATTTTTGCGGAAATTTTCGATCGAAATAGACGAATTTCGACATAAGCACGAAATAGTAGGGTTGGGTCGATTTGGAAAAGAAAGGGAAGAGGTTGAAACCCTCTAAATGATCCAAAATGATATTTATATACTACTGTGATATTAAATCTGAGCCGTTCTTTCTTTTTGACTTTTTCTGATCGTTCGATTCAATGTTCTGGTAAATCGATTCAATATTGATGATGTGGGCTGTTTAAATGTATAGGGCCACTAAAAAAATTGGCTTTGAGACAAGATAGAATTTTAATGGGAATTTGTATATAATTATTTGGACATGAATTGATTTTAATGTTTGTCGGACAAAATTTGAAAAGAACCCAACAACACTTTTTTTTTTATATTATTCAGCCCAACTTAATTAATTCAAATAATTTATAGATTATATGTTAAATTATTATTATTTATAGTTAATAATTGCGATTAAGATAAAATAAATATTATTTAAATATAAAAAACTAAAACCATACATATCAGTTTGATCAATTTATACTAATGTAAATTAAAATTAATGTAATAAGTTTGTTTTATTATAATTCTACAAACATTTGTAAAAATATTAATTATTTAAGTTGAAATTTTGAAAATTAAAAAAAAAAAGCGGAGAAAATATAAAGCATTTTATAATTTAATATTAGATTACTAAAATATATATTTATTAATTAAATATATCCATCATATTCATCTTTATAGGTTGTATGATGTCATCTGGTGTTAATGGGATATTTTTAATTTTATTGCCCAACAAAAAATGTAATGAATTGAGCTATATTTCCTACCAATATAAGAGTGTTGCATACACCTCATCGCCACCCATTATCTGATGTCACAAATTGTATATTGTTATTCAATTCATAGTTCAATTACATTATATAGATTACTTAGTTTAATCTCTTCATAAGTAACTTAGCATTTATTTACAACGGTTAAATATTTTACAATTGCTTAATAATATAAACATTTTTTTACATATTTTATTATGATATTTTATTATTGAAAATGCCTATTCAACATATTAACTTCAAAAAATAAGTGATAAGGAAGAATCACTTATAAATAATATCATATAAATATTTGTTTTATTATTATTATTATTATTATTATTACTATTATTATTATTATTATTATTATTATTATTATTATTATTATTATTATTATTATTATTATATTTGTTGTTGTTGTTGTTGATGATGATGATCAGTGACGGAGCTAGGAATTTTACTCAGGGAGGGCCGATTTTAAATAATAAATAACGAGTTTGTAATTTATGTAGAAATGTTCATTTCGTATAAATTTGTATTTAATTATAAATATAGATATTAATATGTGTACCTTCAAGTGTTTTAAAAACTTATAATCTGTATCCCCCTCAAACTTCTATTAAGAAAAAAAAAAAGAGATTTCGTGTATTTTTAATTTATGTTTAAGATCTATAATTTATGAAAAATAAGCATTTTTGTTCAAAATTTTATTTAAATTGAACACATTTCAAAATATTTTTGTTGATGGGAGCTTATCAAATGACTATTTTAAATAGAAAATAAATAAAGTTGAAAATATGTGAGTACATAAAAAAAAATAAAGTGAAAAATCAACATTCAAATATACAATCGATCAAAATCTAACAATTCAACTAAACTCTAGGTTTTATAAATCATTTAAATGATTTACAATTATAAGGTCGAAAGAGTAAATTACTATAAATAGTTTCAAATATTTATCCAGAAATGTAAAATATAATAATTGTTAATATACTTTTCAATAAATAAATAATATTATTAAATAGCATTGAGAATAAGTTTTAATTATTTATATTTTATATATTTTTTACATTTTTATTCATTGTTTATGTTATTATTATTATTATTTGCATATATATATATATATATTATACACACACACACACACACATATATATAATGATTTTTAGAAAAACTTGAGGGGGACCCGTGACCTAATACAGGTCCGTCCCTGATGATGATGATGATGACATTTCTCCATATATACTCATAATTTTATTTTTATGTGATCGTTCATGAAATTTTGTAAATTATAAGGAAGAATCACAAACAGGTCTATCTAAAAAATGGAATAACATGGCGTTACAGTGAAAGTGGAGGTATGGTAATTGACATCAAAAGTGATATCGAAGATGACTTGATTATTCTTCCTCAGCCTAACTGAAAATTTAGAACATGTTGGAATGACTATATGAATTAAACTTGATCTTATTTGTATTTTGTTCATTTGTGAAACCTTTAAATATATATAGAATATGTTTCTTTATATATATATTATATATATATAATATATATTATATATCTATATAGATTAGCAAAATATATTCATTTATTTTTTAAACATTAAAGGTCGTAGAACACGATAATACGTTTGAAGGCCATAACAACAATCCAAGCATTGTGATTGATCTTACTATTACTATTGA